ACACACACACACACATTCTCCTGTCTATTGATGGGGAGCGCCACCTGCTGGAAACTGGGTCCAGCATCCCATGAACATCGTGAATAAAGCACCAACCGGGACCCCACACACACACTCTCCTCGAGCTGTGTATAGCGAACATGACAAAACATACATACAGCATAATCACTACCTTACCCTTCCCGAACCACATCAACAAACGAACTACGGGCTGCGCACCCGTGCCCTCACGGTTAATCAATGAAATGTGTTTGCGAAACAACAGGTCACTCGGTGGGCACGTCACACACATGCCCTGACAACCACTCCCATGACCACGGATACCCATCCCAAAAAACAACAGTTTGGGATCAGGAGATGTTGGCCAAGTAACTCTGGAAAATGAAAGAAACAATACAAAGGAAATGTGTAGCATAGCGTTCTTTCAGACTACCGTCTTCACCCAAATAGAATGCCCGGTCATTATAGCTGTATTTGGCACAACTTTCACCCCAGATACTATTCGGGTGAAGACGGTAGTCAATACAGTACCCCACAAGTTTGGGCAATCCTGCTGGACATCGTTCACTTTACCCTTCTTACACTTAGGGGCTCGTTAGACACTCCTATTGAAATCCTCGGGCAAAAGGGAAAATTCCTTTTGGTTCCAAAGGAAATTTGGGCCCTTCATTCCAACTGTCCTCGGGGATGTTGCCCGAGGACATTTCCGTCCAGCGATGTCAAAAAAGAAAAAAAATCAAATAAAAAAAAAAATCAAATGTGCTTGAGGCCTTCACCAATAGGGTACCGCCACGATCCAGATTCTCGGTTGTATCGTCTCTCTACCCATGCGCCCGCTCCTCTCCGTGAAACGCGGATTCCTTTTGCCCAAGGGACCTCGTGAGGTCCCTTGGGCAAAAGGAAGAAATGGCTGGGGAATCCTCGGAGCCCAAGGAATTTCCTTCGGAGTGTTTTCACTTTTTTTTCCGACTGCATCCCCGAGGATAGGTGGAACAAACAACTCCTCAGGGACTTTACGCGCCCGAGGAGTGTCTAACGAGCCCCTTACATAATTTGGGCCCTTCATTCCACCTAGGCTATCAACTGGATTGATAATACAATTAGGTATCGGTTCGACTATTAACCCACACTTAGGCTATCAATGAGTAAAAAGAATAAAAAGGCTATCAGCGAGTAAAAAAAATATAAAACATCCGGAAACAATCTGTGAATGTATGTTTGGAGCTCTGGCCCCAGCATCTTTGCAAGAAGGCTCAGAAGAGAGTGTTTGCGTGGGTGCCATTCCCATGGGCTGGGTTTTTGAAGCACATGGAAGAAACAGCGACTTCCAGGGTGTTTTAAGCAGTAGCCCTCCTGGTGTCAGGTGAAGATCATGTGGTCTTTCGGATTACGGTACTCCATACACTCCAGAGGCTAGACAGCAGACTAGACAGTCCCCATCTGCTGTCTAGCCTCTGGAGTGTATAGAGTACCATAATCCCAAAGAACTTTTTTCCTTTTTCGGCTTGCACCGCCGGCCATCGTGGTCTGGTAGGCCAAGCCGCCGAATTTTCCATAGGCTACAAGTTGTTTTTCGGCAGGGCTGGGGCCGTTGTGTACTGGCCGTTAAGTACCCCCCCAGCTTCTTCATTCCTTGGCTGCTTCTAAGTTTTCCCACCAATGTCCGGTAGAGGCTTGGGAAACCGACACAGGTAGGGTTCAGGGCGGTTCGAGCCATCATCCTGGTGGTTCAAATGTGTTCACAATGTGACCGCCGAACTTGTTGCTAAACTTGTTTTTCTTTTTTCCTTCTTCTTCTTCTCTTCTTTTCGTTTAGCTTGTCTAGTGGAAACAACCTTAAACCGCGAGTACCGTTGCCCTCTTGGGAAAAAAGAAGAGTGTGGTGCTGTTAACAGGGAAGTGCAGGACCGCGCGAAATGCCTGCCGGCGGCAGGCAGGTACATCCGTGTGGAGTCGCTTTTTCTGTGGCGGACAGGGCAATTTCTGGCCTGTGGCTGATGTATGGGCCAAGTACTGGCGGTTTACGAAAGCTTACTTGCCGAAGGACACAAGCTTATGAAAGCTTAAGAATTCAGCCACACTCCTTCCTTGGTTGTGCTGTCGAACAGGCTCGTTCGCACCCGGCAAGTCCAGAGGAACACAACAAGCCGAGGAACACAACAAGACACCGCCCTCACCTTTTGAGTCCCCTCCCGAGCAAGGGCGACACCACCACGCCTTCAATCTTAGTGCCAACCGTGCCACCATCATTTCTGATCCACATTCTGAAAGGGCTATTTCTGCAAAAAGTCCCAAATAGTACAGATGCATGCAAGCAAAAACCTTTTCAACAAAGCAGCACAAACCACCCCCTGACACCCCATTTCTGATCCACATTCTGAAGCACCATTGTTGCTTTGTGACATCCTTCCCCTGCGGGACGTCACAAAACAGGCATGATGGGGACCACCCCTTAGTTGCGATACACTACAGGCATACGGTAATCACACCAGCTGTTAGCACAGGCACACCACCACCATTGGCTCCTGCAGGACGTACAACTCGTCACAGGCACAGCAATCTGCACAGTGGGAACACCACCCCTTGCGCCAGGGACAAGATAACATCCTTTTCGACAAAGACGGCATCCAGCGGTAAAGCCAGCCATGACTGAGGCACAGAATGAACCTCTTTCCTTTCTGCACACACAAAACACACCCTTTAATGACCGGGGAAAGGAGAAACCTGCAAAACCATAAGCCCAAGACATGATAGCACCCACAATCTCGACCTCTAAAGCCTTGCCCCCACTCCAGACCAGAGAGAGAGAGAGAGAGAGAGAGAGAGAGAGAGAGATCTGCAAAACCATAAGCCCAAGACATGATAGCACCCACGATCTCGACCTCTAAAGCCTGCCCCCCACTTCAAACCAGAGAGACAGAGAGAGACAGAGAGAGAGAGAGAGAGAGAGAGAGAGAGAGAGAGAGAGTGGCTTTTAAATAGTTACTGATGGCAACAAGGAGAGTCAGCTAGTCTGCAATGTGGACCAGATTCGTGTTCTGTCGACGATGGGAGACCATAAAATGTGGCCATTAGTACCTTAATGTATCTCAGAGATCACCCCATGAGCAAATTGGGGTAATGTTCGGCTTGTCTTCGCGAAAGCACCGAAAACGAAAGGATTCCTCCTCAACACATGGATTCAGAAAGAAAGATCAAAACCACATGTGAAAATCATAATGCAAAAATACTAAAGCTAGAATCAAGGCTGCCGCTCTCCATTTGCTTCCAACTGAACTTCGACAAACGAACGTGTTGTCCTTTAACCAAGGAAAAAAAAAAAAAAAAAAAAAAAAAAAAAAAAAAAAAAGCTGCTGATGTTGCTGACGAGCAGCTTTCTAATCACGCACCACTGTTTCGAGAATCATGTACCGCTACCACCCTCTCTCCCCGAATAGAACACATGGGCAACAATACCTCTAAACTGCATGAATCTGACCGGGAGAGCGTTTACCTTGAATGCAAGCAATCAAAAAGAAGCCTAGGCGTTCTATTCGGGGACAAACGGTGATCATTCGGATCAAAGAAAGGGACGTGTTTTATAAGTCCTGCCAACCAAGAGTTGGATGTCATGCACCCTCCTCCTCACATTCAGCAATCATCATCATCATCATCATCGCTTTGTCGACCTAAGTAGCACAAGAGGGGGCGGGTGGCGGGAAGAAAGAGTTGTGGGGAAGTACCAGGGGAACAAAGTGCACAACAAGAGAGGAAACATAGACGTCATCTTCCTCGCATACGATCGGTGAGCCTAGAGAGTGGTGTAGGAACATAACTCAAGGAGGAAAACTTACTTGGGTTTCCCTCACCTGGCGCTGCAGATGAGAGAGACGCAACGAACAAAGTGAGGAGATGGTGAAGTACCACGTAACCCAAGAACAACTGACCACCCTACAATTGTGCCTATTTATTAATACACGTTGTCACTGATTGATGGATAGATGATGAAAGCTGCAGCTTCCATTTCCAATCCAACAAAATCGCGCTATCTACTCTCTCTCTCTCTCTCTCTCTCTCTCTCTCTCTCTCTCTCTCTCTCTCTCTCTCTCTCTCTCTCTCCCCACACACACACACACACACGGGGACACACAAACAGACGCAGAAGCGACGAAGCAGACGAGGTATCAGCAGTCAGAGTTGACTTTGGCCGTACTCAGACTCACTTTGGAACTTTCTGGGATGAATTTGGCAACAAATACGGTAAGATACGTCCCAGGGAAGTCCCAGGGAGGGGGGGGGGGTAGTGTGTCGTGAAGAGGAGAAGGTAGGATCACTGTTGGCGGCGATACTCCTCCATTTCTATGTCGAGAACCGAGGCCTGGCGCTCCATATCCAAGAAGTCTTTGAGCTGCTGATGAGTGAGGAGCTGGTACAGAGCAGCATCCCTATCGACCGCAAGTTCCAGGAGTGTTCCTGCCCTGTCATCTGCATCACCTGGCACGTCGACTCCCGCCAGATACGTCCGAAGCTGCATGCAGCGCAACATCATCTCGGGCAGGCAGCACATTCTACACAGCCCTCTCACGATCCCATGGGCTGGAATCCTTCTCTCCCCCGGATTGAGATTCACGACCAGCCACGCGTCTATCCTAGAAGGCCGGGGAATTACGTGAGGGGTGAAATGGGGGAGCTCCCCTTTCATCGTCTCCGCCATGACCGCTGCTAGCAGGCCCCCATTCGGCGAGATGACCCCATGGAGGCCATCTCCTTCGACGGGCAAGCAGCCAAGCCGAATGACGACGCTCTCGGGATCGCGGGCGAGTGGTCGAACGATCACCTCCAACCTCCTCCCCTCCACCGCCTCCTCCCCAGCACAGGCCGCCAACGCATTAGCCATGGTGATGCATTCCGTCGGCCCGGGCGCTGCCACGTGTCCGTCCAAGGAGAGGATCTCAGCCCTCACCTCCAGCACCATCCACGTCACATCTGCTGCATAAGTCATCGCTGCCCTCTCCTCCTCTTCCTCTGACTTCAACCACACAGCTCCGTACTGCGACAACCAGAAAACGCCTTCATGCAGCGCCCGCCTGGCGGAATCCCAAGCCCTCTCTCTATCCTCCTCCGCTAGCAGCTCTTCCGCCACCATCGCGTTCCTCCTCTCCACCTTCAGCCAGTCCCTATACAGCTCCTGGCACTTGAAGTACCCGCGCCAGTCGAGACACTCTTGCAGCGCCTGCCGTACGATCACAGATCTGTACGACGTCGGCGCGAGCAAGATGCTCTCCACGGGCGCAGTCAGCGCCTCCTCCAGGTAGGACAGCAACTCGACGGCAGCGGCGGACGGATCCTCCGCCTCTCTCCCCGCCAGAGACGCCAAAGCGAACTCCCTAAACAGTAGATTACTATGTTGGAAAGCCCGCGCCCAAAGTTCCGCCTGCGTCAGTCTCAGCTCACCCTCCCCCGTCCCCGATTCCGCGCCGCCGCGGCCGCCTCCGCCGCCGCCACCGCCTCCTCCCGCCGCTTCTGTTCCATCGTCCTCTGTAAAGGAAGGCGGTTTGAAGCACAGCCACTGCACAGCCATTGCTTTCCGATGCGCTTCCTGCCTTCGCGAGGAGGAGGAGGAGGAGGAGGAGAAACGTTGCTGCTGCAGTTTACCGCCCGAACCCGATCCCGACGCCCCGCTCTCTGGGGCCATCAAACCTTTATCGTCCTCCCGTGATTCCGCCAAGACACCGTCCAAGATCTCCGACACAGAGCCGCTACCTTCATGAGGGAAGTACCTTAGCGCGTTCGTAAAGACTTTCTCCTTGATATCCAAACTCAACCTGGCGCAATGATGCATCACAATAACGTACACGTCGACTCGTTGATAGGGTGCCAATCTTGACGCGTAGAGGGCAATCAACTCCACCCTGCGCTGCTCTAGCAGGTCATAAATGTACCTGGTCAGGATCAGATCGCCGGGGATTTCCAGTTTGTGGTGTTGAGTATAAATGTCCCGCAAAGCGAGGACGAGATGGGCGCCGAAGCGCAGCATATGCGGGGAAACGACGCTCCCAACCGCGCCGCCGCCGCCGCCGCCGCGCATCCCGCCAATCTGAGACCCTGCCTCTCCTCCCCC